AAAAGGGTAGTTTATCACCTAGCTATGCTAGACAGATTATGATATCTGATATGATATTATGTGGTAGTAGTATGGGGTGAAATAATCCCCAAAATTCGGTTGTCAGGACCGACGGGTAGGTCAGCACCCCAGAATGGCTTGACACGGGTATGTCAGCACCCCATAATGGCTTGACATGGGTATGTCAGCACCCTGGAATAGCTTGACATGGGTAGGTCGACACCCCAAAATAGTCGGACCGGGAAGGTTGGGCACCCCATAATTTCCCGACAGTATGTATGTTATGTGATTGTATGGTATGTGGTATGATGGGGGAACTCACTAAGCTTCATGCTTACGGTTTTCAGTTTTGGTTTCACGTACTCGTTTTTTATAGGAAAGGAGTAGGCTTGATCGCAGCGCATCACACTATGGTTTTTCGCACATGAGATCTTTGGGATTACACTATGATATTGTTTTATGATATCATGTTTTGATTACTTCTACTTTGGTTTTGACATGACATGATATTAAGGATGATTTATTATAATGTTGGTTTATAATAACGTAATTAAAAATGAAATTTTTGGCTTGTATTTTTGGGATGTTACAAGTTGGTATCAGAGCCTTGGTTTGAGGGATCCGGGCACACTCTCAGGTGTTTCTGAACTCAAACTAGGGACCTGGTATGAAAATTTTTAAGAGAAAATCATTTTATAAAAAGAATTTGAAAATAATAAGGTGTGTGACGCGTGCAATTAGCTGAGCTCAAGTAAGTTTTCCCCAAGATACCCATACATGTTATGCTATGTTATGTTATGGTGTGATTATGAAAACTGCATAAGGATCTAGGAGGATGCCTTATATGCTTATTGTATGTGCTTGTAGAATTGCATGCTAGTACTGATCAGTCAGTAATAGGATAGCCTGTTTAGGTTATGCCTGATTGTATGAGCCTTTGAATTGCTTGTACAGATCCCTGAGTAGAGGATAGAATGGTTTGATTGGAATATGAAGGTTAGATTTTCCATTTTCTGAATGCTGCTTGCTCTATGCTTTGTGGGACTCTTAGTAATGTGATCTAGTTATATTCATGAGGTAGCTAGTTGACATTATTGGAAATCTTTCAGCAGCTGAGGAATGGGTGAGTACGGGAACCTAGGAAAGCCTAGGATACATTTCAGTGGGTTAGTAGTGAGTCTTAGTGAGACTTGGGTATACCATTTGAGGAAGTGACCTGGAGGATTCAGGAGGATTGCTGAGGAAAGTATGGATAGTTATGGAAAGTAGTATTGGGCTCGTACTACTTAAAGCATAGGATCCATACTCGAATCTGTGAGAGTCTTGGTCTCGTACTTCAGGGAGGAGTTTGTGACTCGGTTTGGGGACAGAGAATGTTCCCGATGTTGCATCTTAGCCATTAGCAAGTGAGTTAGTAAGCGTGGCAGGGTGTCAGACCCTGAAGGGTATGAGTTGTTGCTGATGTGAGATCAATTCGGAGCACTTTTAGAAGAGGGGTTCACGCTAGATGCGTATAGTAAATGGTCCCGAGAAAAGACCCATGATTTTTGATTATCAGGTGAAAGGCCAGTAGGGCCGGAGTCAGTGAAGCATGTACGGGAAAGTGTACAAGGGAGTTTATCGCTCTAAGGGTTTAGGCTGCTACAACATTGCAGGGCTGGTCATGTCAGCAAATGGTGGTAAGGATTCTTGGGTATATTCGAATCTTTGGAATGTCAGTTTGGTATGGTGTTAAGCACCCAAGAATGAAACTCAGATTTGGGTTCCGACTCAGGTGCAGGGTCTGAACCAATCGATGCGCGATCGCACAAGTTCGTCTCATCAGAGATTACTTGCAGAGTTATGAGAATGGACATTAGTGGCCTTTCATTCAGCCAGGGAAAGGACTTTAGGAGCCCTCGGTAGTCGTCTTGGGACCTCCGGGCCCGATATACGATATATCGTAGGGAGAGTTAGGGGTTCACTTGGAACTCAAGGACTGTGGACCCTTAGAATCCTTCGGGAAGGCAGATCCTATAGTTGGTCTCTGTCATCAAGATTAGGATTTCGTTAGATGTTTGCGGGTATGTCATTATATGCCACTTCAATTGGATATGGGGAATCCATACCACTTCAAAATTTGAGTGAGTTTGGAAAAGTCATATATTAGGTCGGTTTCTGCTACTGTCTGCATTATCAAGGATTGTCTTATGCCAAGCTGCATGTCGGAAGTCCTTAATGAACCTACAGAGGGATGTATCTTGCAGAGTGGATTCCGCGTGTACCGTTCTCATCCCGGATCTTTTTCAAGATCTGTGCTAGAGTATTATTTAGAGAATACTGGGTCAGGATTAAAGCGATAGTCCTCCAGTGAAGTCGGAGTTCAATGATTCTATCATTTATTCGTATATGGTCAAATTTGTCTATGGATGAACTTTGGCGTTCAAGACAAAAATATTGCTAAGATAGGATTAGTAGCACGAAGATGGTGATGTCAGTTGCGGGTGTTAGATGCATAAGTGGTTGGTCATCAGATGTTCAAGAGAATTGTATTTTCGCATGGGCTGTGTACAGATAGAGTTCAGTGGTTCTGCAAGATTGGAAGTGGGAACGAGGACTTGTCAGCCAGAGTGAAGATTAGAGCCTCTAGTTGTCAGGATGGGAGGTGGATTGAGATGTCATACTGGACTAGATTTCTAGAGTACTCATCAAGATTTCCGGGTATAAGCGATCTTAAGGTATAACCGATGATTAATCTCTAGCATTGGTAAGCACAGGTTGTCATCAGTGGGATACTAGAAAGCGAGAAGCATTGGGAATCCTTCAATTCTCACACGTCGTGAAGACTTAGTTGAATCTAAGTGGGGGAGAGACTTTTTGTAAAGTCCTCCAAATGTGAGTTCTAGTTGCGGGGGTGCAATCTCTTGGGCACCTTGTCAACCAGAAGGGTATTCTAGTCAATCCAGCCAAGATAGAGGCCGTGATGCAATGGGGGATTCCGATGTCTCCATCTGAGATTCGGAGTTTCACGGGTCTAGTAGGTTATTACTGGATTTTTATACGGGACTTCTCCGAGATTGTGATTCCTTTGATCCAACTGACCAAGAAGTCGGTGGCCTTTCACTGGAGGCCTAAGCAGCAGGCAGCCTTCAAGACTCTCAAACATCGGTTATGTGAAACACCGATTCTCACCCTGCCAAAGGGTGTAGATGACTTCGGGGGTTACTATGATGCTTTGATCATGGGCATGGGTACGGTACTGATATAGTGGGGCCACATGATAGCAGGTTGCGGGAACCAGGTTAGAGTTCCGGTTAGGACTCAAGTTCAATGGTGTGTTAGGTCGAGTGCATGTTCGACCCGGTTTGGAAAGTGTTGTAAGACTATGGGGTAGTCGTGGCATTCACTAGTGTTCAGTTAGTATGGAAAGTGTTGTAAGACTACGGGGGTAGCCGTAGCGTTCACTAGCAGTCAAAAAGTGTTAGAGTGTTGTAAGTCCGCGGGTGTAGCCGTAACATTCACTAGCAGCCATATAGTGATAGAGTGTTGTAAGTCTACGGGTGTAACCGTAACATTCACTAGGTTGGTAGTTATCATGAGTGTGTTGTTAGGACACGAAAGGAACAGTAGTACCCACCAGTTCGGGTAGAGCAGTGAGGATATGGAAATCCACGGATTGGATTTCAGGATTACCCAAATGGATTAGATCTGGTTGAGCCAACGATACAACGGTTAGAACGTCACTGCAGTTATGAGGTCAGGGAAGCAATGGATTGCTTAGGTTCGTGTATGATATAAGGCTACCGTTGGTCATTGAGCCATCACTTTTTGCCTTGGGTGTGGTGACGTTAGGATTCGACGCATGGAATCGATCGGTTAGATCATAAAGTTGTTAGAGTCACAGTTGCATGATAACTAGTTGCAACTAGTTCCAGAGAAGGATTTCGTTCAGAAGTCGTGTGAGGCGACTAAGTAGGAGTCCTTTGGCTCCATAGTCGGGCCGGAACACGGTATTTCAGATGATTGGTGAATGAATCAAGACCAGGCAGGTCTCGGTATATTCTGGAAAGCAGTCGTATGGCAACATACTACTTCAAGCAGTTCATGGTTCAGAAAGTTTTAGTATTTGGACAGCGTTAGTATTTGCATTTCGGGTTGCAAATACAGACATAATAGCTGGCTGATTGGGAAGTGGCAAGTCACTCACAACAGTATTATTTAAGCCTTAGCCGAGTATAAGCAACCTGCAGAGATAATTTGGCTTGTGGTCCTCATTTATAGTAGGAATCTTGAGTTATCAAGAGTTGAGTAGTCAGATGAGAGATAAGTGGACTGGATTTAGCGATAATGATTCAGTATGAGTGGTCTGTCAAGGATTCAGACCATCTCAATACAGCAGATTTCGGACGGAGTAGTTGTGCTCTCGTTACGAGGGATTCGTTCACCTTCAGATTTGGGGCCTTGCAACGATTGGTCATGGCTACCCTGGGAAGACTAGGGTGTGCCCATGTTGGTGACCATGTTACTAGAGTGGTTGGGTGTGTAAGGAATGGTAAGAAATGATTTCGAGGACAAAATCTATTTTAAGTGGGGAAGGGTTGTAACACCCCATTTATTAAGTAAATAAAAACATAAATTAATGAATGTATAGTAGCCCAAAAATCAATAATGATATAGTAAGGTGTTGGTCTCGAGGAGCTAATCGTCATAATTTTTAAATTATGGGTTAAAAGTGTAAGTTTCGGATTGGTTTCGTAAATAATTATAAAGACATGTACTATTGGGTAATTATTAGGACTTAACATGAAGAGATGTTGGAAGCTAAAGGCTAAGTGGTAAATTTTGGACTCAATTTGTAAAGAGTTTTTGAAGGCAGGGGTTAAAAGGGTAAATATATAAGATTTAATTTGAAAAGGTAATTCTAGGGAGGGACCATTTCTGCCATTATGGAAATGACTTTTGAAAGGCATCGAGTATATATTTGTCTTAAGGAACCCTAACCCTAATACATGTTACTACCGTCACGCCTCACCCTTATACCTCCCTTCAACCTCCGGTGCCGCCAACCATCGAAACACCACCACCCGTGACGTTGTTCTTCCGATCAGTTGAGCCACCAAGTGAGTGGAGCACTGTTGTTGTTTTTTGTCGGCGAATACGGGAGTCAAGGCCGACGTCGGGGTCGTTGTGCATATGCCTTCTTTGGTAATGGTGAACCTTTTCCATCTCTCTCGTTCTTCTGCCATTTCCCTCATGTGCATCGCCATCTCCGCTCGATGGCTATCACATTTTAATGATACCCATTCCAGGTCGCCGCAAACCACCATAAAAGTGGCGGTGTTGTGTGTGTTTCGTTTGTGTTTTCGTATCTCATCCATGTTGTGGTGTTTGTGCGTGTTTCAATGGTCACCGCGGGTATGTGTGGGTGAAAGGTTGGCTGGAGAACGCAAGAAGACCACCATGGCAGCTAGCCAAGGTGGCTGTCACCGAGAATGCTTTTATGCCGCCATTGGCCACCGTGAAGGATGGTTGTGGGCGTTTTGTGGTGTTGGTACTCGTATGTTGTGATGGTATAAGGCTGCAGTAGTGTCCTTTGGCCGGAGTGGTGAAGAAAACCCCACTGCCACCACCGTGAGGTGGTGGCTGCCATCCTAAATCCACCACTGTCGCCGCAGTTAGCCACCAGGTGGGTGCTAGAGTGTGTACTATTTTTAAAGTGTGTGTTTAGGTGTTTTGTTTAGCTAGAGTCCATGGAAGAATCACCGCCACCACCGTGAGGTAGTGGCTGCCGCCATTCGCCACCACCAGCCGCCATTAGTTTGCTATGTATATGTGTTTGTATTAGTGTGTGTGTGTGTGTGTGTGTGATTATTTAGGGTGTTAGCATTGTAAAATGTAACAAAAAAAAGTGTAATGAAAAGAAAACTAAAAACCACCACCGGAGGGTGGTGGCTGCCGCCACCGGTCACCGTGTTGGGTGGCGGTAGGGGTGTCAATTTATGACACGACACGACAAAAATACACGACACGAAACGAAATCGGGACGAAATCAAAATTCGAATTCATTTTCGTGTCGTGTTCGTGTCAAGTTTAAAAAACACGATGTCGTGTCGTGTCGTGTTCGTGTTTACAAATCCACACGAAATTGACACGATTGAGCATGTATTTGTCGTGTTTTCGTGTTTGTCGTTTTTATCGTGTTATATATGATTAAATATGAATTAAATAAAATAATAGTTATGTAATATTATCTTTGTCGTGTCGTGTCGTGTTGTCGTTTTTTAATTGGTTCGTTTTCGTGTTAGTGAAAAAAAACACGACATCGTGTCGTGTCGTGTTCGTGTTACAAAAAACATTGTCGTGTCGTGTCGTGTCAGACAAAAACACGACACGACGGCCCGATTTGACAGGCCTAGGTGGCGGAGTGCTTAGTTGTGTTGGGATTTTTTTTTTGGATGTTTGGAGAATGGACTAAAACCCTAATAGGCCCAATGAAGCCCTAATGGACCCAAAAGCCCAAACATGTGACTAATGGGTGTAATAAACCCTAATTGACCTAAGGAAAACCCTAAAGGGCTTAAGGACATGGTTTTGGGCCTATTGGGCTAAGATAGGATTGAAAACCCTAATATTAGGATTTATGGGCTTGGACTTATCGGGACCTACATTTGGGCCATTGGAATGGAATTGTGTGTTAAGCCTAATCACACCATATGATTTATTTAGAAGAATGATAGACTTAATGGATTAAGTCTGGGTTAAGTGAGAAACACTTAATCCTAATCGTCATTTTATGTGAAACCCTAATTCGACTTGGGTTTATTGTTGGGCCTCTCTATTGAGCCTTAATGATTGGGTTATTAATGGGTCATCCAAGATCAATCAAATGGACTAGAATAATTAATGGGCTTTTATGTAAGGCCCATATGAGGAGTTGGGCCCAATTTGGAGAATTAGGCCATAGATGGGCCATAGTTTGGGCCTTTATAATTATGTGATATTGGGCCATTAGAATGTTGAATGTTGGACTGGACTAAATGGTTGGCCTTATGGTAAGACCTTATAAAGGTTTGGGCCCAATTTGGAAAATTAGGACATGAGTTGGGCTTTGACTCATAGTTGACTTTTGGGCCTTTGGATTGGGCCTTAGGCTTGAATAAAGTTAAGTTAGGGGTAAAGTAGTATTTACCTCCAAGTATGTATTTATGGTTATGTGTTGGAACACAATTATTAATTGGGTTATGTCTTCGGGACTTCAGCAGTGTGAGGTGAGTTACCTCCAGTAGAAGTTGGTCTAAGGCCACAATGTCGGCCCACTAGTAGGAGTTGTATGATAGATGATTGTCTTTGTGATAATCATCTAGGTTTGCTACTGCCTGATATGTTTTATATGTAATGATGTTATGTGATAATGGTAGTAGGGGGAATAGTCCTCGATTACCGGTTGATAAGGCCGAAGGGGTAGTTTAGTACCCAACTATGTTAGACAGATTATGATAAGTGATATGATATTATGTGATAGTAGTAGGGGTGAAATAATCCCCAGAATTCGGTTTTCAGGACCAACGGGTAGGTCAGCACCCCAGAATGGCTTGACACGGGTATGTCAGCACCCCTGGCTTGACATGGGTAGGTCGGCAATAGTCGGACCGGGTAGGCCGGGCACCCCATAATTGCCCAAAAATATGTATGCTATGTGATTGTATGGTATGTGGTATGATGGGGGAACTCACTAAGCTTCGTGTTTACGGTTTTTAGTTTTGGTTTCAGGTACTCGTTTTTAAAGGAAATGAGCCGGCTTGATCGTAATGCATCACATTATGGTTTTTCGCACATGAGATCTTTGGGATTACACTATGATATTGTTTTATGATATCATGTTTTGATTACTTCTACTTTGGTTTTGACATGACATGATATTATGGATGATTTATTATACTGTTGGTTTATAATAATGTAATCAAAAATGAATTTTTTTGCCTATATTTTTGGGATGTTACACCTATAGTTCTTTAGCAGTTGCAACTTTACAATAAACAATATAAAGTACATCAGTTAGCCAATTCAACACATAGTTGCAACACAGAAACTCTGAATGCTTCCAAGCAGTAGTAGGAGTTCCGATAGCAACAGGAGTTCCAGTCATTCTGAAAAAATCACCACCACGGTTAAATTGATTACAGGAAAAAACGACACAGAAAGATTTAGAACAAAGAAAAGTCTGTTTAAGATTGTTAGTGTAAGGACTAGGGGTGTGCACCAAACCACACAAACTGCATAAACCGCCCACACCGCACCAAACCGCACCGCCTAATGCGATTTAGAACTAGTATGGTGCGGTTTGCGGTTTGAAATTTTGTTAAACCGCATTATGCGGTGCGGTTTGTGGTTTCCAATTATAACAATGCGGTTCAAACAGCACCGCATATATATATATATATATATATATATATATATATATATATATATATATATATATATATATAATACAAACACATAAAAATTACACAGAAGATACGAATTTGGTTTTATTACTAATGAATTTTGATATCACCAATTTCAATTTTTGTAAACAAATTTGTGATAGATTATTTATCTGATTGTCTAATGTAACAAAGACTAGTATTGTTAAAATATTGGCAAAACCAACTTATCTTGATTCTATAACTAATATATTTATATATAAATTTTATGTACATAATATTAAAAATACATATACTTTTTCAAACCGCAAAAAAACCGCACAAACCGCCCGCACCAAACTGCACCACATAACGCAGTTTAGAACCTTCGCGGTGCGGTTTGCGGTTTTCTAAAATTTCAAACCGCACATGCGGTGTGGTTTGCGGTTTCGACTCGAAACCGCACTAAACCGCACCGCGAACACCCCTAGTAAGGACTTCGTTTTGTAATATTCCTATAAGAAAAAGGTTAGTAGAAAATGTGGTGGTTGGGGCTCAAGTTGGACTCGATTCCCTTAAACAAATTCAAGGTCTATTCCAATGGTACAACAACCGTATTAAGGTGTCTATAAAATCCAAGATTTGCACCCTTTGTGGGGGCAAGTAAGAGTTGTAATAAAACCATTGACACAAGCTTATAAGTCTTTTATGCATTCAAGCTTATAAACCTTGTTGGATTTGATCTTTCTACCAATGTTGGACTCATTCCCACATTCATCTCTTTTACTAAATTTATTCTCAAATACCCACATTTAAGTATTGATATCTCATTCACATATACTCAATTTTGAACATATTATATATTGTTTCGAAGTTCTCACGTAGAAGAACACAAACTCACTTAAAGTTAATTATATATCCAACATGTGTACAAATTTATATATGTTCAAAGTTAGTAAAATATAAATATTTTTACTAAAAAATTCCAACACTTATTTCTTAGATTATTCTCCTATGACTTTGCGTTGTGGTAGTTTGAATCAAATGTTTTTAGTATGAAAATGCTTCAAAATTGAGTGGTTTTGCTTTATTGAATCTAGGATTCTGCCACAAATTCAGTAAGTTGTATTTCATTTTTGTTTGACTTTAATGGGCTTTATTTCAGACCACCTTATCACAAGTATACTATAGGAGGGGAAATCTTTGATTTTAATCGCTTTTATTTCAGATTTAGTTTGATTTTAGTTTTTGATTTGGTTAGTTTATAGGTGCGGGCTTAAAAATTGAAGTATAAAAAAGTGTCTAATGATGGTGGTCAAAGCTCGTTGTCTTTCTCTTCTCACTACAAAATATGTGAAGGAAACAGATTTTAGAAGGTGTCGGTAGGCATCTTATATTCTAATAATAACATAATAAGCATAAATAACTAACTATATATACGAAATAAATATTACAAAAAAAAAAAAAAAAAAAGGAAAAGCAATATAGCCTTTTTATGTTTGATGGGGTCCAATTATGTTAGATAGTAACCAAAGACGAAACAAAGCTTTTTATGTTTGATGGGTTCCAATTATGTTAGATAGTAACCAAAGACGAAACAAAAATATACCATAAGGACTTTCACAGTTTAAACAAAGGTCAGGAATCAAACATACAGACTAATCTAAAGTCTAAAGCAAAGGGACCATTTGTGTAATTTACTTTAAAAAAAAAAGTTCTCCTTGTTAAATGGGCCCATAAATTTTGATAATTTTGTGACTATTCCACACATAAATTAGCGTAATGAAGGAAAATAACAAGAAATTTTTTTATAATACATGAGAGGTTGAACATAAAAACAGTGTTTCAAATAAATATATTCAAAATAATAATTAATGGGAACACCAAAAGACTGATCTTGAAAATACTAAGATACTACTAATTAACTAGATGGGCATTTTGTACTTTTACTATTATGATCCTCAACGATCCCTTGG